CCCCCCACCTCTTCCCACCTTCCTTCCCCTCTTTCTGTGCCGCCAGAAGGTGTGATGTGTCTTACTAGTGCTCGCCTGAGAGATATGGTAGTTGCAGAGGGAAGTGCTTGAGTTCTTCTAGTCAGATCTAGCAAAGCAACCCGGGCTCAATCGTGATCGGATCTTGGAAAACTGTTTCTGTAATATGAAGGTTGGCTATGCTATGGATGTGGCAGAGCTGTTGCATGTGTTTTGCACCTCGCACGACTGTTATTTTCCTGGGTGATTGGAACCATCACATGCACCTCTCACGACTGTTATTTTACTGGGTGATTGGAACTATCACTGGCTGCCATCTGTGTGCCAATCAATACCTCCAGTGATGCTCCGAACCACCAGGCTAAGGGCTAGGGTGGGTGTGAGATTGACAGGTCAATTGGATGAAGGTGGTAGGGGTCTTGATATGACATCCATGGAGCTTGACTGGTTTATGATAGTATTTTTTTGAACAGTAGCACACACAAAATTAGGCAATGGATCAGTCTTGTTTTGGACCTAGGCTTACTCTCAGAGTGCCGCCATGTGATTGTTTGTTCCAGGCAATACTTAGAGCGAAGACATACAACATCTCAGGCATCACTTTGCAGCTCGTCCAGGTCTGTGAGGATGAGAAGACCTCATTTTTCTGAAAATTGTTTTCATCTCCCGTCAGCGGTTGGACTATTGCCCTCCCTCTCCCCCCCCCCTCCGTGTGGCTCCCTTTCCCTCCCTGTCTCCCTCCTCCTGACCCTCCTCTCTCCTCTCCCTGTCCTCTTTCCCTCCTCCCTCCCTTCTCTTTCCCTCCTCCTCCCTTCCTCTGCTCTTTCTCTTCACCGCTCCATCTGCTCTTTTTCCTCCTCCCTCTCCTCCACTCTCTTCGCTCCTCCCTGTTCTCATCCCTATCTCCCTCCCTGTTCCTCCTTGTCCGATTCTCTCCAGCCCCTCTCTTGCTCCCTCTCTCCCGTACTCCCTCGTTTCCTTTATTTCTTCTGTTCGTTCCTCTCTCCTTCCTTCCCCTCGCTCTGCTTTCTCCCTTCCTCCATGTCTGCCTTCTTTCGTCTCTCATCCTCTCTAGATCTTTCATTCTGTGAGCTCTCCCTTTTTCCTCGCTTGTTTGCTCCCTTGCTCCCACCTTTCCTGTAACAGAGACTGCGTTCAGCGATGAGGAGTGGAGGGAGTGAGCACACATGCACACGACTTAGACTGACCACTGAACACAACTGGGACAATGAATCGATGCTCTATGAAGAGAGCCAGCCAGCAGAAATTCAATGCCAATCATACACCGGTTTAAACCAGAGTACAGCTCAATATATCTCACAGATGTGTGTGTGCGATGAGTATACCTGGGGACAGCCTAATGACTGGGCTGATCTCAGGGGTATGTTTAGACTAAGTCAATACCGAAGGGTACTCGTGCAAATATGTCCAAGGGACAGAAATGCACATGTGCTGGCACCAATGACATGCCAGAAGAATGAATGTACAGAACCCAGCATGAGGTCCAGGGATCTAGCCCTGTCCACATGTTAACATACTCCCTCCCTTTTTCTCCCTCTTCTCTCTCCTCTCCCTCTCTTTCCTCCCTCTTCTCAATGTTGAACATACTACGGTCTGAACCAGAGTGCACCTTAGGATGTCGTACGGATGTGTGTGATTGATACATATACCTGGAAACAGTCTAGCAACTGGGCTGGTCCGAGAGGCATGTCTGAGATAATTGGATACCAGAAGGGTACTGGCGGGAAATGGTCCGCGGGACAATGCAAATGTTGGTCATACCGATAGCATGCCAGAAATAGATCTCCAGAATCCAGCATGAGGTCCAGGAATCGAGCCCTGTCCAGAGTGACAAGAATGTAGCCAACACCACCCACCACACCCAACCCTACCCTGGGGTGGGAGGGAAAGATGAACACGCTTCGTGGTGGTTGTGTCACCCGAGGTCGTGAAATCTAGCGATGTTGCGAGAGGCAACTAAGTGGGTGAAAGTGGTCAATGAAGAAGATTTAAAGCGTCATTTAGGTAAATACATATTAGAATAGCTACTAGTAACTTACTACACTATAACGATCCCTATTTTGTGGCCTGTGACCGACAGAAAATTGAGGTCCTCCATTTCATTGTTGCACGAAGGTCCAGATTGGTGGCTTATTGTTTTCGATTTCACAAACTCACGATCTGGACCGCCGTCGGCGTTTTACTGCACGGTCCAGATTGTGTCTTGATCGTTTGGAAACGAACTACTATAGAGAACACCCACACCCACACAGAGATGCACACATGCCTTGTGCTGTGAGGATTATGAAGGGATAGTCCATGCAAGTTTTTGCTTTCATACGTACGACGACAGTCAGTGCTGTACTCATGTATGGCAACCTGACGTGTCATGTCCAATTTGTAGACGGGCTGGAACGGCAATGCCTCTATAATTGCGGTCGACGTGCCTCCGTGTTCCTAGCATGTAGGAGCCACGCAGCCTTTGACATCTGTCCTGGCTGCGCCATTCGATGCAGCAACTGCGACTCCAAAAATTGGATGCAGTCCATCCACTGTCCACACCCGAACCGGCCTGTCCGGTCTGTAGGGGTGGCCACTTACCATAGGCAATAGCTGCTCGTCAACTCAAAATCTTATGCAGCCCAAACACGAACTGACCTCATGTGCCATTGTAGAGTAGTCTGTTCCAGTGCTGAGTATTTAGAATTCTGCGAAGTTAGTCATATATCTCCTCCCCTGCTCTTAGCATGTCAACCTCTTTCCTGCCCTTCACATGTTTTTATCCTGCCCTAAGCCCTTTGCACCCCACTACCCCCTACCCGACACTCCTATAGAACTCCGCCTTCTATCCGTTTCCCTCCGCCCTCCCCTTATGTGCTACTAGCAAATACATATGAATGAGCATTGTTAAGAGAGCATACAAAGTATAAGCTGAAGATCTGAATTGAAATGAACAGGAGTATGAAGACGAACAACAGACACAAAGACTAAGTATAGGCTGAAGATCTGAAGTGAAGTGAACAGGAGTATGAAGATCTGAAGTGAACTGCACAGGAGCATACCTTCCCCCTTACTCTACCTCCTGTCATAACGTGCAAGTGGGCCGTTAAGGCACACGGGGATGTGGGAAGCTGCCGCTTAACGACAATCAATGTGGGCAGCCCTGTACGTGCGAGGCATTGTAAAAGAGGAGGTGTTGGCCCAAAGAAACCCCAACTAAACACAGGTCCAAATGGTTCTAGTATGATTCATGTTGCTTGTTAAAGAGGTGAAATTCTTTAATTTTTGGGCTGGCTCAACTCGAATCTACTCATCTGGGTGGAATAGGGCCTGTTGTGGTGGAAATTTAAAACACACACGCACACGTGCTCACATACACACACACACGCACACATGCTCACATACACACACACACACAAACACACACAAATACGCCCACCCAGAGTTGTTGGTGCGGCTTTTTATTCTGAAGGTTGGACACTGAGGCTTGGGCTATGCATTGCGCCGAGGGCTATGCATTGCGTCGAGGCTTTCGGACACCCGCGCCACGATGGCTGAAGGTGAGTTAACTCTGCTTCGGCACGGTCAACATTACAGCTCACATCAAGATGCTATTCCAGTATTGGACTGCAAATGCCATGCAGATTGGATGTCGAACACTCCATTCATACATTGGGAGACCTGCTGAAAAACAATGGCGCACTTATGATTGAATGTGACTTCCCGTAACTACCCCTGAGCAACTGTCAATCACACCGTCTCGCCCCACCGACATGATACTTACACTCACAGACGGAGAGAGAGAGAGAGAGAGAGAGAGAGAGAGAGAGAGAGAGAGAGAGAGAGAGAGAGAGAGAGAGAGAGAGAGAGAGAGANAGAGAGAGAGAGAGAGAGAGAGAGAGAGAGAGAGAGAGAGAGAGAGAGAGAGAGAGAGAGAGAGAGAGAGAGAAAGCGGGAGGGAGGGAGGGGCTTGCTTTTATCGTTAAGCATGGAAAAAGGAAGATGGTATGATCCCGGCCAAATTCAAAATATACATTCATGAGAAAGCATAATGCCGTCCAATTGCAAAAGAAAGGAATGAACTTGAGAGGAGAGAGAGGGAAAGAAGAAGAAGAAGAAGATGAAAGAAAGAAGAAGAAGAAGATGTACACCAGCAAAGACCAATGATATTTCCCTTCTTCTTCTCCAAGTACTCCTCCTCCTTTTCTCCTCCCCTCTTATTCAAACAATAAATAATAATAATAATAATAATAATAATGTTGAATTTCTGAACCAGAATAAATGTCCGAATCCCTCTTCTACTGCAGGTACAAAATGAGGTCCACCATAGCCATGGCCACTCTTCCCTTCCTTCTCATAGGCCGAGGCTATGGCGGACTACCAGGGCCTTGCCCTGCGGTCCAAAAGACACACAAAGCAGCTATGACCGCTGCTACTCAGGCCGCCGTGCCTGACTCTGCCTCGGAACTTCTTGAAGCGGCGCGACCCCACTGGGGTCTTCCTGATGCAGCGCTAACAAGGTACCTCGGCTCTCTCCCTCCTAGTTTCCGTCTCCTTCCTCCTACCACCAGTAGAGCTCCACCATAGCCATGGTGGAAGCTCCCGGCCTCCCTCTTCCTCCTAGCGCTGCTCTGCCCAGCGCTCCTCCCTGCTCCAGCGCTCTGAAGGCTAGTGCTTGCTCAAGCAGCACGACGTCCAAACTTGCGTACCGCAAATGAGGAGGAGCACTTTGCTCCTCCTGGAGATATGGTGGCCTGCTTGCCTCTTGGGGGGTGACTTCCTAGGCCGCGTGGCCTCCAAGCAACCTGTACCTCCTCCCTTTCGGAGGGAAACATCATTGCAGGCTCTGATATCGTCCGTACAGGCCCTAGACTCAGGGTACTTGGACTGGTACCGGGCTACCTCTAGCCTGCCGCTGCTGGGCCTCTAAAATCCCAACTTTTTTTCTTCTTCTGCTCAGCCTCGAGTACCGGACCCTTGGCACTCGCCTACCTGGTACTTGCGTCTTTCCCATTGCTCTAAGTGTTGCGGGCCTACCCTCGCTACTTGAGTGTTTTTCCCGCTGCAACCCTCAAAGTCACGACCACAGGTAAGTACCGGCCCTACAGGGCCTCCCAAGCAAAGCAAGTACCCTTGCGGGTTACGCACACACTCCAGCCGACAAGTACTCAGACAGGCACGCAGACCATCAAGCACGCACACGCACACAGACTTAGAAAACTCAGTAGAATGCGGGAATCACAGCAAGGCATCCATTCCAGCGGCAGAACTCAGAAATCAGCAGTGTTCTCGGTCTGTGTTTTGGTGGGTAATTACAAAGATCAAAATTGAAAGAATTGCGTATTTTCTGACATCTAAAAGAGAATACTTCTTATGCGCCAAGGGAGATATGTGCTGACAAGGTAATAGACGTGAAAGTATTTCGGAAAGAACAGGCCAGTTGCTAACCAACTGCACTCAGGCCACGGCACCCCTCATGCTCGGTGCTTTTATTTGCAAAAAATCCATGTTTCTTTGTGGGTGGCGCCACACAAGCTAGTGAGAACATAAGCTTTTTCCCTTTCTCTCCCTCTGTTCTCCTGCTCTCTCCCTGTTCTCTCCCTGTTCTCTCCCTGTTCTCTCCCTGTTCTCTCCCTGTTCTCTCCCTGTTCTCTCCCTGTTCTCTCCCTCTCTTTCTCTCTTCTCTCCCTCTGTAGCTTCCTCGGCTCTTCCTGCCCTACGTTGTCCCGTCCCGTTCCTTGCCTTCCTTTTGTGCTCTCTCTTCCTTTCCCGCACTCCTTTTGTATATATGTCCCCGCTTCTTCTCTCTCTGCCATGTTTATTCTCTTCCCCTTGGGAAGTGTAAGTTTGTGCCTGTGGATGTTCGCTTAATTCAAATCCGGTATGGTTCTTTAGCTTTCGTCTTCTTCTTCTGCTGCTGTTTTGCGAGTTTTCTTGCACTTTTCTGATTCAAGAATTTGGGTTTTGCCTTTTTGCTCCCTGTTCTTTTTTGGCATCACTTTTGGTGGCTGTCAGGGTGTCGTAAAAAATATCATCCCTGCGATTGCGTCAACGAACGCTATCATTGCTGCTGCATGTGCGTTGGAGACCTTGAAGATTGCAACAATGTGCAGCACAGGAATGGACAACTACATGATGTAAGTTTATCCACTGAGTTGCCAAACTCGTAAGCGATGCCTCCTCCTCCTTCTCCTCCTCCTCCTCCTCCTCCTCCTCCTCCTCCTCCTCTGCCTCCTCCTCCTCCGTTCGTGTATCTGGTAGCCAATCCTGACCAGTAGGGTGTGGGAAAGACCTTCTCTTTGTTTTTAAGAGACAGTGCCCCTTCTATTCTGGGGGCGCAGCAGTCTGGCTAGTTACTACGGGCAAGCTTAGACTGAGAATGAAGATTGAGAACAAGTAAGGATAGAAGTAGAACCAGAAGTAGAAGAGGCTACCCCTCAGGCTCTTGATGCCTCCCAGGGGCATATCAGCCATGTAGCCTCCAGGGCCGTAGTAGGCCTTCCTATATGGGAAAGACATTTCAATCTAGCTTTGCCTGGGCGCCCCGGGCACCCCGCCCGGGTAGGGACCACACCCGGGGTACCCTTGGCACGCAAAAAAAACAATCAGTGTTTTTTTTTTTTTTTTTTTTTTTTTTTTTTTTTTTTTTTTTTTTTTTTTTTTTTTNTTTTTTTTAACTGCCAGACCTTGCTGCGCCTTGGGAGTATTGCCCAAAAACGGGCTCTTTTTTTATGTTCATGCATGTTGATTTCTGTGTGTTGGGGGCGGAGCGAGGGGTTGCAGGAGGGTGCTGGAGTATTTGTGGGGTGGGGGATACAGCAGCTGGTGTGTCTCACCTGTGCTGGAGCGCCATGTCAGAGGGAGGAGGGAGGACGAAGGAGCACCAAGTCAGAGGGAGGAGGGAGAAGCTGGCAGTGCCCAAATCCGGGCTCTTTTTTTATTTTCATGCATGTTGATTTCTGTGTGTTGGGGGAGGGGAGGGGGGGGAAGGGGTGCAGGAGGGGGCTGGATTATTTACTGTCTGTTTGCTGGGTGGGGGATACAGCAGCTGCTGTGTCCCACCTGTGCTGGAGCTCCACGTCAGAGGGAGGAGGGAGGGCGAAGGAGCACCAAGTCAGAGGGAGGAGGGAGAAGTGGCACATCAGAGGAGGGAGCAAGGACGGAGGAACCTCACATCATAGGAGGGAGCGAGGACGGAGGGATCTCACATCATAGGAGGGAGGGAGGAGGGAGAGGGGGGAGGGAGGGGAGAAGGGAGGAGGGAGGGGGTGGGAGGAGGGAGGAGCGCCACATCAGAGGAGGGAGGAGAGGAAGAAAAAGAAGAAACACAAAAAGAAAAAAGGAAAAGAAGAAAGAAGAAGACGAAACAAAGGAGAAGCCCAGGATTTGAATTTGAATCCTGGATCAGCGCGCGCTGTTAATCGATGCAGATCGACGGCCAGAATCCAAAGAAAAAACCCTACAAAATGGGCCCTGCTGGACCCCCCCAAAAAATGTGCCGACCACCAGAGTAGTCACGCCGACGGCCGGTGCCCCTGGATTGGTTGGGGGCCGACCAGCCGACTGTCGGACTGGTTGGCACCTACCAGTCGGGGGGTGGTCGGCACCCCGCAAGTTTCTTTTATTATTTTTTTGGGTCCAGAACCCAAATAACCCCATCATCACCCCAGTAGCCCCCCCCATACACCTCCCCGTACACCTTTTCAACACCCCCATACGAACCCCCAACACCCCCAACATCCCATACACCCCCCCAACACTCCCATACCGGCCCCCAACACCCTCATACCCCCCCCTTAACGTCTACAACCCCTCTATAACCCCCCTATGTCCCCCCTATACCTCCCCCATAACCCCCCGTAACCCCCGCCCATCCCCGAAAGTTTCTCAGCAGATTTTGGGCTGTACTCAGCAAGCGCAGTGCAGCCCTGAACTCAGATTTGAAGGAAAAAACAGTGGATGGCCCTCTACAGCCTGCTGACCAATCCGCCTACGGGTCGGTTCGACTGGTTGGCGAGCCGACGGCCTACGGTCGGCCGTAGGCGGTCTGGCAACCCTGCCGACCACGAAAAAGAAAGTGGGCACGTTCAGAATAGGCTGGCGACTCGAAAAAAAAACTTGGCCCGAGAGGCGCCCGGGTACCTGCTCGGGGGGGGATTGCTCGGCCGGGCACTTCGGTCACCATTCCGGGCATGGTGGGGTACCCCGGTCGCCCGGGCTGGAAAGCTAGATTTCAATAGGATGTTGGTTGGCAACTTTCCATCAATAATAAGCCCTTGAGAGGGTTTTTTTTTTTTTTTTTTTTTTTTTTTTTTTTTTTTTTTTTTCATTCCGGGATTTGCATTACCATTTGGATGCAGAATCCTCCGTACGTTTCGTGGAAAGGTGACCATAATTAGCGCATGGAATTAAGAAGAAAAACTGATGCCAAGACGATCAAGGTGATATTGGAATTGTGTGTGTGGCACTGTGTGCTAATTTGGCTGAACCTCATAACATCCACGCGTCTTCGTCTGAATAGTTGCATCATGCAGCAGCAGAGGCAGCAGTTATGGCCAAAGTGGGAACCTCGTAAGAACGCATGGATGTGGATATTGTGCTGAGAGGTGGACTATCCCCCGCCAAAGCTACAGGCTTCCCCTGAATACAACAACATACAGGCATTGTAGCTGAATTTGGTGCAACTTTCAGTCTACGTACACTGATGATTACCATATGTTCTATTCGGGGAAAGAGGGTAGGTTAACACAGGGGTGCGGTCAGATTGGGGCTACAATGGGTGGGCAGCTCCAAGGTAGGGGGACACCAAATTTGGAGTGTACTGACTTGGGTGATTTTTTCCTCTCATCTCCTTTTTCAAGAAACAGAAATGGAAAAAACCATGAATGTAGGGTATGTGGGCATGTGCCACTATGATTAAAAAAATTAGCAAATCAAGACAAAAAACAATGGCCTGTAGAAAGCATTGCGCACATGATTGTGCCAAGTGTGACACATATGGCTGAGACCACTTGGTCTGATCCCCACAACAGTCTCGTAGTCCTGGGGGGTGGGGAAGGGTACAAAATGGAGCGTAGCGTTAGGAAAATGAGGCTCCGAAGTACTGGTGATTTAATGTGCGTTTCGTTCTGCCCTTGGTTTGGGTCTACTGCTGGTAAATGGGTACAAGGGGGCTGTACATCCCATACTGCATCGTATGAGAAGGAGCCTGATTGCCTTGTTGGCAGCCCGGGGGTCGCTATGGAAGGCGGTTCCTCGGTGACTCGAGACAGGCAGAAAATGGAGCGTAGTGTTTGGGAAATGAGGCTCTGACGTACTGTTGAATAAATGTGGGTTTTGTTCTGCCCTTGGTTTGGGTCTATTGCAGGTATATTGGTACAAGCGGGCTCTATACGCATACCGTATCGTATGAGAAGGAGCCTGATTGCCTTGTCTGCAGCCCGGGAGTCCCTATGGAAGTCGATTCTTCGGTGACTCTGAAGGAGGTGAGCTGCACGGAGCTTTCCTTCCCCATTGCGTCTCTTCTCTGTACCTTTTTTGTCCAGGTCATTATTTTCCCTGACTTCTGAGTCAGGATATCAATGACTTTTTTTAAAGAAACCAAAAAGAAAAGAAAACCTTTCTAGGCCTTCTGGCTAAGATTCAGTGTAGTATCTGTTGTGATCAGACCCTGTTTCAACCACATCTGAAAAGAAGTTCACAACAGAAAAAAAAAAGGATATCGCATGGTCATGTAGATTATCTGGAGGAACAATTTACGAGGGATAAGTAAATTGGTTGGAATTGAAGGTGGGTGGAATTGTCACCACCTTCTTCCTCTGAACACAACCCACTGTCGTCATGACCGTATTGGAGTGGGACAGAGCTTCGCTACGTTCATGATGAGGGGGTATTATGTTCAGGGGAAGTAGAAGTCATATCTTGATGACGAGGGATAATTTTCCCCGTGTCGCACGTCAGTGCATGTTTACCACTTCAGAAAGAGGAGTTATGTGCCATAGAGGAGGAGGAGGAGGAGGAGGAGGAGGAGGAGGAGGGGGTATATGTGCCGTAGAGGAGGAGGAGGAGGAGGAGGGGGCATATGTGCCGTAGAGGAGGAGGAGGAAGAGGAGGGGGTATATGTGCCGTAGAGGAGGAGGAGGAGGAGGAGGAGGAGGAGGAGGAGGAGGGGGTACATGTGCCGTAGAGGAGGAGGAGAAGGGGGGGGACAAAGAAGAAGAAGAAAAAGGAGGAGGGGGTGTATGTGCCGTAGAGGAGGAGGAGGAGGAGGAGGAGGAGGGGGTATATGTGCCGTAGAGGAGAAGGAGGAGAAGGGCAGGGGGAGAAAGAAGAAGAAGAAAAAGGAGGAGTTGTGTGCCATGAACTTGTCACCACTTCCTTCCTCTGAACTCCACCCACTGTCGTCATGACGGTATCGGAACGGGACAGACGGCTTCGTTACGGTCATGTCGAGGGGACATTATGTTCAGGGGAAGGAAGGAGTCTTATCTTGATGAGGATGGAGATTGTACCCCTGTCGCATGCCTAGTTGGGATGTATGAGCATTTAGTTGGTGCATGTTTACCATTCGAGCTTCTTGACAGTTTCTTGAGAGAATGTACCCCTGTTGCAGACTTATAATCAACATGCCCTGAAATTTGTTTGTGCATATGTGCCATTCCCGCTTTTTTTTTTTCCAACTTTAAAGTTATTATACACAACCTGGAAACCGGATCCAGCGTCCCTTACATTGATCCCATCTCCATGCAATTCCATCATGGCTGAAGGATCCTTAGACAGCGGCATTGAGGAACGAAAGAAGGAACGAAAGAAGGAACGAAAGAAGGAACGAAAGAAGGAACGAAAGAAGGAACGAAAGAAGGAACGAAAGGAGCGAAAAAGAAGGAACGAAAGAAAGAAAGCAAGAAAGCAAGCAAGAATTCCCCGGGGCTGGAGGTGCTGCACGGCGCGCCAAGCTTTTCCGAACTGCCAGCCTTGCACTTATTTTCTCTTTTTTTGGCTGGTGCCGCTAGCCGTTGTGGTCCCATAGCCCCAAGCCGCATAATTTTCGGAGTTGGCAACGGCCGATTTTCTACAAGGCTGCGGCCACGTAATGGCGGTTTAAGGCCTTAAGCAGTGTTGAAAAGTTCCAAGTTCAAAATTGACAGTTTGGAACACAAGTCCTTAAAAAAAACTTCCAAAAAGTGACAGCAAGGAATTTTCTGGCATTTTGAATCTTTGATGATGATTTTTTTTGGCAAAGATCAAGTGTAGCATCTGTACTGATCAGTTTAATATCTGATCCGTGGTCTGAACAAAAAATTAAAAAATTGGGAGGTTGTACTTCACAAGATATTAAGAAGCTGAACGAGATAAGTCATACTGGGAAAAGGGGGTAGAGGAAGGGACGTTTTTTTTTTGCAGGACCTTCCTTCTTTCTTCTTTCTTCTTCTTCCTCTTCCTCCTCCTCTCTTCTTCTTCTTCTTCTTCTTCTTCTTCTTCTTCTTCTTCTTCTTCTTCTTCTTCTTCTTCTTCTTCTCCTCCTCCTC